CACATGTCCGAGGTAGCGGAAAAGGGCAAAGCACGAGCAGGGAAGCTGCACCCAATACTCGCAAACCGGCACCTCGATACACGCATCAAATTGACGGTTTTGAAGAGCGTAATCGTACCGCCGCTAGAGTACGCCGGAGAAGTATGGGAAGGAAATAAGAAGGTAGTGAAAGAACTCGAGGCGGCGCAGATGAAAGCAGCGAAAACCATCCTAGGATGCTCCAGGCGCACAAGTAATGCAGCCGTGAGGGCAGAATTGGGGATCCAATCCCTACGGTCGGGAAGAGACGCGAGGAAGCTGACCTGGCAGTATCGCATGTGCGGGATGGGAGAGGAGAGGTTGCCGAGAATTGTATGGGAGGCGAAGTGGGCAAACAAAAAGAGGGGTAGACAACCCACGGAATGGGTCAAGGTTGTAGAGGACGTATGGAAGGGGCTCGACATCGACGAAGATGAAACGCTGGAAACGGAGGGTCTACAGGGGTTCAAGGAGAAGATATCTGTTGCTTGTGCCGAGAGAGAAGAACAGAATCTGAGGAAAGAAACCAAGGATCTAGACGGTCTAGAAGTGTACGGAATGTTGAAGGAAGGAATAGGGTTCAAGGACTACCTACATGGACCAATGGATGCAGGAACAAAGCTTAAGGTCAAATTCAGGACCGGGGACATAGGCCTTCGAGAACGTCGACGAAGACATAGGACGGTAGACGAGGAAGACGACGAGTTCAAATGTGATTGCGGCTTCGAATGCGAACACCGTGTTCTTTTAGTGCGGAATGTCCTTTGTACAAGGAGGAGAGAGAAGTGTGCGTGAGTGAGCTGGGAAAAATAGATGGGACGTACAGGGAGATGTTTGAGGCATGGAATAGAGAGGAAAGGACGGTAGCTGTACTGAGGCATAGGAGGTGGGTTGAAAAGGCGGGAAGAGATATCGTTAGGATAGACAGACTAGGGAAGACATTTTTGAGCCACCTTTGGCAATTTAGAAAGGAATGACTGGCCATCGGTGATCGATCCTGTGGGAACAGTGCTCCGTCCTCTCGAGGACGCGTGGTCAATGGTCTAACCGCTAAGGCATGCAAAACACAAGAGTACGCCCCCCCCCCCACCGCCTCCAGCGGACAACACTTACCGCACAACGTTCAACAACGCCACAAATCGAACGGTTAACGATGTGGCGGTGTTTTTCACCATGTAATATCAGTCCTCCGGCGTCGTGTATATCAAGCATACATAGAACACCACAGAAACGCATCGACGCCGAGAACGACTACAGCAACGAACAAAAGAAGCAAGATAGGCGAGTAAAAACAAAGGCCCCGTCCTCAACAACCCATCCTTCGAATTTTTGCTCTTCATACCCAACGGCACCGCCTCAAACTGCCGAATGTATCTGCAAACGCTTCCGAGTGTACCAACAGTACCTGGAAATCGGGCGTGTTGAAGGTGGCGGCGAGGTGCCTCTCGGCGATGGCCATCCCGACGGCGTTGGAAATGCCCTGCCCGAGGGGCCCAGTGGACACTTCCACTCCGGGGGTGACGAAGTTCTCCGGGTGACCGGGGGTCAGGGAGTCGAGTTGCCTGAAGCTCTTCAGGTCATCCATCGTGACGCCGTACCTGGCCGTATGCCGACGAAGACGATGATTGGAGAAAAACAGAAAAAAAACAGAACGAAGGGGCCACTTGTTGAATCAACTTGTATACGCTCTCATTTGTATTCAAGCCTGGAGGGACCCTGCCCTTCTTCAAGACAATGTGCAGTCATTGCCTACAGCTTAGTCAGAACATGCATGTACGTGGAATAATCATCACGAAAGTCCTTTGACCCTGATGAGACTGGGCTGTTTCGGGTCTTGGCTTTCGATAAACCAAACCACTCGAAATCAGAAAGCAGGAACATCTCCGGCTACGAAAAATACAACGATATCGATTCCATCAGATGGGCCCAGAAAAAAGCTCTACATCGCACACCAGAACAGATGGGACGAACACACACCAGTAGCGTTTAAAGCTAACAAGCATGCGAGCCAGAAAACCGCGGTATAAGAAAAAAGGGAAACGAGCACAGGATTGACAAAACTTCGGAATTGGCATAAAACAAATTCTCGGCTTGCAAAAAATGGTGTGGGGGGTGCTAAGGGGAAATTTAACAAACTTGAACTTCCCTCGCAGTTGTAACCCTTTCACTCTAATGTGAAGACAACAATAACAACAACAACTCTCACCCGCACAGGTGCAGCATGATGTACTGCAGGGCGCAGGCGTGCCCGTTGGACAGCACGAACCGGTCTCGCCCCAGCCAGTCCGGGTTGGATGGCGAGAAGTTCATGAACTGATGGGATTCGTTGGTGGGTCAAACGGAACGCCATGCGGAAGCCATGATCATTACCAGCGTTGGGGACAACTTGAGGGCAAAGTTAGACAGGGAACACGTCGGCTTGCTTGTGGGTGGTGTTCGTACATATCATCAAGCAAGGGTACCGGCATGCTACGCATCACACTGCTGTCCATACACATCATGGCGTGGAGGACATTCTCACCTTGGTGAACAACACGTGGGCCATGGGAGCGCAGCCCATGGGCGCGCCGGGGTGGCCGGACATGGACTTCTGCACGATGTCCGCGGCCAGCACTCGGACGGTGTCGATCGCCTGGACGAACGGGAAGAAACAAGTACATGTACGAAGGGGAATAGGGTGGTGTGAATAAAACATAGCTCACTGGCAAAGACTCAGTACATGTACGAAGGGGAAGAGGGTGCTGTGAACAAAGCATAGCTTGCTGCAAAGACCCCAACATCCCCTTCGACTATGGTATTATCTCGAAACGGTATACTGCTGTACATGATATTTCTTTGATTGTATGAATATTTCTCGAACAGCTCCCGCGACGTGTTTCTAGGTGAGCCGCGTATGCACCGTTGGTGACGTGACATATCACACCCCCTGGACCTGTTTTCAAAGCTCGATTACTCCATGACGAACATGATATATAAAATCAAACGACGTCTTCGGAAAGTTCTCGACGGGATGAGATAGCTCCAACGCCACCATTTTCGGCACCGCCACTCTACCCTGCTGTGGAGAGCTACTACTGCTGTAGAGCTTTGAAAGAGGACTGATATTTTGCGTCATGTTACCTACGGGTATGCACATGTAGCAATCACACGGCAAGTGAGAATGAATTGGCGGAGATACTTTTCTGCTTTACGCATGTGTTCTATGTCACACAACAGCGGTGTTGCTCAAAGTAAGCGTGTGGATAACGCCAGATCACCGCCCTGCCTTCAAGGCGAAAGGGTGGTGCACGTGTGAGCTCAGCGAAGTCGACGAAAACATCAAAATGTGTGCGCATGCATGAAACCAGGCGGAAACCGAACAGTTTTTACCATCCAAAAATTCATACCAGACACCATATCTTGGCTTCCCCGGAAAAGCTGTTTGTCGTTGGAAGCGTTTTCACGCGACACGTCACACCCAACCCAGCAGCAGCAAGTGTGCCACTGCCCTTGTTCGGTTGGCACAGGTTGAAGTGTGGAGGCTTACACAGATCCATCGTCAAGGCTTTCCTCCCTATTCACTGCACCTAAGATTTCCTTCAACACATCCACCGGGGTATTATTTCCATCGGGCATTCTCTCCGTTATTGCATCTATACTAAGAGACACTGCTACCGGGGTACCGATGCATGATAATTGACGAGTACACCGCTGTATTCATGTGGCAGAACTATGGGCATCTGAGAAGTTGTACCAATACATTGCTTTACCGTATATGACATAAGATAACACACCCCCTAGACCGATTTTTAAAGCTCGATTACTCCACGACGAAGAAGATGCATAAACGAAACGATACATTTTCGAAAAGCTCTCGACGAGACGGTTTCAACGCCGCCATTTTCGGCGCTGTGACTGTTCCTGCAGTTGGGAAATCGAACTTCGAAAACTGGTCAAGGGGGTGTGTTATCTTGTGTCATATAAGGTACTCCGATCTTTCCAGAGTTCGGGAAATGACCCGCCGAACTGCAAAAGCAACTCATCCGCGGCTAATCGGCACGACATCGGTACCAAGCCGAAAGATCTGCATCTATAAACACATCGGGTGTTTGGTTTCGGCAGCAGCTACCAACTCCGAGTCGACCGCAAGCATGTGGTACCAGAGAGAGAAACGGACAAAACGTACATGTATCAAAAATATTAAACAAATACTATATATAAATTTTAACATTAATCGCCTACGGCGCTTCTAAAAGCTGTAGCTGGTGGGATCGATAGGTACGTGGGAAGACTGGCTCCACATGTGCTGCAGCAGATGGACCTTGCCACTGAAAGCACACGTGTCCTACCAACACGAGGATATTCACACGGGATCGCTGCGTGTTGCACGTTCGGCAAATGGTTCCCGTTCGTGTTTTTTTTTTTTCTCCCAGTACTGTACTCTGTCGTCTACCCCACTGGCCCCCATCCTCCACTTCCACTAGCGAGGCGACCGAACCGGGGTCGCATAGGAGGGGAGGGCTGGACCCCCTTCTGCGGTTTCTGCCTGAAATATTTTTATCGCGAGAAGGGTACAGGAATCCCTTCCCTCGCGACTTATGAAGTCGATCGAGTTTACTAACAACGAGCTTTTCAGCGCGTCGCTTTCAACTTAGACCAGGATGTATTTGGTGAGAAAAAAAAGTGTGTACCCACGGTTGGTTCTGCTGTTCTTGTACCAGCGCGGTTTGAGGTTTGAGGATGCTTGTTGGAAACGTACATGCAGCAGCAGCGTCCAATCCCGTCCTGTTGCTCCGCTCGTAGTGTGACGTGCATCACAACCACGTCTGTGGGTTAGCGATGGGTTTCTATTCATAAAGTACTACCCCGGAGATAGAGGCAGTAGCCGACCAGAGGGCACCAACACCACCGCTGCTGCATCATGCGCATTCTCTGTACTCTCAGAAACCACAGCTTACGCCACGACCACGCACCGCCGTACCGCTTCACGACACAGAGAAAGCCTTATGGTTGTCTGCATGGACTTCGTAATGCTGCTAATCCCACCGACTGCTGCTGTTGGGATTGGGGATGGACGTTGGTGATAAACACTGCTGCTGCTGTACATCGACGCGTAGCATGTACAATAGGTGACGGTCCGTTACAACTGCAACAGCAAGGTGTGCCACGTAGCCTACGCTCCACACAACACGCACACCCTGGGGTGCATGGACATGGAAAATCTCTCTGGCACACGAGGAACCCATCATGCATTTCAACATGGTCTCTGCCGCATGCACACCTTGCTCTCCACATCGATCTTGACTCGCTTGTTCGACATGATCTTGGTGTTCAGGGGGCGGCAGGTGTGGCTAGTAGCAGGTGGTGCTCGGCGGTGGTGCCTGGTGTGCTTCAGTTGGAGTGGGTAGAAGCAGGCCCGGAGACGTTGTTGCCGTTGCAGGGAGAGAATTGTTGTGGTGAACGCGGGAAGAGCGGCGGCGAACCTTGCGCGCTCCTTCTTACTTATGTTCTAGACTCGGGCCAACGGGGAATACTGCGGTAGGAGACCCGCCGCATCCTATCGGCATCCCGCGATCCCGCGATCCCCCGCGATCCCGCGAATCCGAGTCCTCAGGTGTGCAGAGTTCCTCTTCGTGGTTGCGCCGCCCCCCCGCCCCCCCCCCCGACCTCTCCGGACAGACCACAGACCCCACAGACCAACACCAAAACACGACACTGCGGCAAGTTCGAACTCCTTATTGTCCAATCTGCGAGCCACCGCTGCTGACGACTAGTGCTCCGACCAGGACCTTTCAGTCTTCAGCGCGCGGCACTGACTCGCACACACATCTCGAGAGCTTCCACTAGCCTTGGATAGGTTATTGGCCAACGTAAGGTGCGAGAAACGCATGCTGTGAGGCGTGTGCAGGGAGGGATGGGACAAGTGTATTTTGGTTGCGCCTTTTTTGTATTTGCCGTCCCTGACTCCTTGACATTTGGGCAATATATACCATGTACATACACACCTCGCGCAGCAGGTACGGTCGTGTTTGCGTGACGTCCATCGCAACATTAACCAGGAGATATCGGTAGCACGGGGTTTCTGTTGTGTTGCACTGTTAATCCCCTGCGTTGTCTACCGACGGTAGTTGTGCACGAAATATTTCTTTCGAGATGACCGCTTGTGCTTGTTGTGTGGTCTGGCATCCGCACAACGCGCACCACAGCAGCACAATCGGCCGCAGGACAAGGTGTAGGTGGAGACGTGCAGTAGATGGCAGCAAGATCACCAACATGCAATTAGTCGATGCTGGTCGTCTTCATCGTTGACACATACGAAAACATGGACAAGTTATTCGTCGTTTGTTGTCCCCTCGACAGCAGCTCCGGTGGAAAAGGGCCGACGGCGGCCGGGCAACCCGGACCAGAACCCTTCAGCAGCGTGTGTAAACATAGGGATATATTCGAACAACCAGTTCACAGCGCATGTGCAGTGCTCCGTCCTGATTCGCGATTGCCCGAAGAACGATGCTGTGAGCTGCAGCTACGACAACAACTTCCATCATGGATGTGCTGCTGTTTTGTTGGAACATGGAGAAACGGTTTCCCTTCGATCGAAACCTGCGCTTCCGCGGAATTCGCGCGGCGGCATGATGTCACCGCGTTGTTCCTGAATGCTGCCCCCCATCGATCACAACTCCCCCGCTATTATTGCGCGTCGTATCAGAGGGCTAAGTACATCGTCGAGGTTGTACCGCAGCCATGGCTCTGCGCCAAGCATCAGTCGCAGGGAGTAGAGTCGGCATGGCGTTGCGACGAGAAGCGACCGCCCGAAGGGGAAAGAGGAGGCCGACAGCTCTGGCGGGGCTTGGGCTGGACGGCGGTGGCAGTTGCCGGCACATACATCCTTCCGGTCGGAAGGAAATGCTCCCCGTTATCGGGGGCGCGCTCGCGGTGGCTGCCGTGGCCACCGGGCTTCGATACCTCATCAGAGCAGGTGGGGTGGTAGAATACTTGCTTTGTTTTGGAGCGCTGGCAGGGTGGATGTTTTTGTGGGCCTTGCGCGTGTTGTTTGAGCACGCAAGACGGGCGTGTTGAGCACGAAAGAAAAGGCTTGGGTTGAACGGTGCTGGTGTTTGGTCGATCGTTGAGGATCGCATTTGTCCTCTGTTATAGAGAGAATATTGTTGAGGATGCAATGACAAGGGGGAACTCGGTGACTGTCTAGCCTAAGGGGACAGGACTTAATTTCTGTCGGGACACCCAGCTATTGATCCCGTATCCGCCCCGTATTCTGATCTCGCCATAGTCGATTGATGGTGTCGGGACACCACTTTCTTCTCTCCCTTCTGTAGTCCGTGCTCATGGGCCGGCCCATGCTGATTACGTCCACCCTGTGTGGGGGGCTTTTTCTGCGGGCCATTCCTTGACCGTGCTTCTTGCCCACGTCTCTCACTGTCTTGAAGGGAAGCGGATGAAGGAAATGGAAGAGCAGGAGAAAAAGTCGGGCGGCGGGGGAGGAGGAGGTGGGGGCGGGGGCGGAGGTGGCGGAGGTGAGCAGTACCTCCACAACTACAGAGCGCTCGTGTGTCCTACCGAAGGTTCTGCGTTTCCTACTGTTGCCGCATCTTCTTTCGTATGATGTACCATCATCATTGCAATCTTCGTGCTTTGCTTTTTTGCTTCCAAAGTGGCATATGCCCGTTCGGCATGTGTTGCTCTCTTTGGCGGTTGCGATTGCAGTACACCCTGTCATTTTGCAGTTCATGCGTGTGCGTGCATGTTGTCGTTGATGCGCGTGGCGGCTGTGTTCCGAATCTTCGTGTACAGCCGTTTCCAAAGGCTACAAGCGCTTGGCGGACCATGTTGCTAAGTCCTGGCGTCGCTAGTACTTGGCTTGGGAAGCGAAAACTCGATTGAGAGCTGGCACGGACAAGGGAAATACTTTGTTCATGCCTCAGTCCAGGTACCCCCAACATCGGTTTCCGCATTTAAAGCACCAACAAGATGCAAGCGTGGAATAAGGTGAAGGGCAGGGCTTGGATACTGGCGGGATTACCTTTGTCCGTTTCCTCCATGCTAGCACGGTCCGCGATCAGTACACCCCGAGTTTTCTGTACCAGGCGACTACGCTGCCCTTGACCGTACTTTCGTTCAGCGAACATCAGCGGTGGTCTCCTTTTCAAGCAGTCCGAGAGGAAACTACTGGACAGAAACACAAAAAACGCGTGTCTACCTTACCATACCGTTGCTGCTGTACTACCCTTACACACGTTACACGGTGATTGCGCCGCAGGGCCTGGAGATGGGGTGCCCTCGGACGGGCCTGCCTTTGGGCTGGACGTGGGAGTGACCAACCTTCGGCTGGCGTTCGCAACTTCGATCAAGACGCGACCGGAGGTGAGAGAACAGGTTTCGGGTTTCCAGAGACGCCGAGCTGCGTGGGTATTGGTTTGGCGCCGTCTTGCTCAGAGCGCGTCTCCGACTCGTGTGTGGCTTGGACGAACGATCTGCTGCGGGTTCAAACCGTCGGCGAGTTCTGTGTGGGGGTACAGGACCAGAGTCGCATCTTTACCCTCGTAATAGCTGCCAGTGGGGGAGAAGCGGGGGGGCTGGTGCTGTGGTTTAGCGTTTGTTTTTGAGACTTATTGATTGGCTCGTGAGATTCAAAGCTACCTATGTAGGTTGGGTCGATGCCACTAAGAGGAGACCGTAAGGTTGGAGATGGGGTCAAGGGGTTGTGTTGTATGGGACCGTAGAAACAAGGAGGGCGCTGTTGGTTGTACGCCGCTTCTAATGCAGGTGTAGCTTACGAGTCAAGCTGAAGGCTTGGGTTGCTACGGATGCGACAATGGACTGATTCCGGCCCATGAGAGCGCTGTGCGATGCGACACCGAGACACGAAACCTTCAAGCTCTGCGGTGTTGATCTGTGCGTGTATGAGGGAAAGCGATGGCGTTGGATGGGGACGCAAGCCTAGCTAGTTCGTGAGGGAGCCGAGAGATCGTCCAAAGGCGCGATCGAGGCAATTAAACCATTACGTTTTTGGCCTCCTGCATGATATATTCCCGGCCTCGACACCTAGGACTTAGCGGTCGTCCACTGCGTCTATTGACGCATCCTGCCCCCCTCCTGTGCTGTGCCGCCCGTCCCCCTCCGCAAAGGTGGTCGAGAACCGCGAGGGAAGCCGATGGACGCCTGCGTGCGTAGCCTTTAAGGGAGGGGGCGACCCCATAGTCGGGAGCATTGCCAGGGCGCAAAGATTCGAGGTGCAGAGCATCACTTCTCTCTGTGTGTGTGTTGCTGGCATCGACCGCGCTGGCCGGCTGCAAAATAGTAAGACTGATTGTGAGAGGCGCGGGGATTCGGGCGTGACGGAGAATTTGTCACGCACAATCTTGTAATAAGCATCTCGTGTCAGTTGGTCGCTCACCGCCGCACGTCATCATGCCATCATTGGGCTCACGGGTTCACACTGAAATTAGCTGTTTGGGTTGATATTGAGCCGTGGTTGCTCCCGGCCTTTGGACACCCCCTTGCCGTAGCCGAGCAAGAGCGTCCCTAGCAAACGAGACCGCCTCCGCACTCTCATTCTCTCTCGCTCCACCTGGAGCTTGGGGGTCCCGCGACCACCGACATGCATCCGCCCTCCACACGGATTACACGGGTGTCCTCGAAACCCAAGCTTTGTCGCTGCCTGACCGCGCCACGTCAGGCGTGCTAGCTCGCAGCCCAAGCCAAGCAAGTACCCTGCAAGTCTTACCCTCCGCACATGCCGCACCTGATCAGTGCTAGACGTCATCTCCTCATCGTTACCCCCTCCCCCTACGTACCCCCGACCTCTGTTCGCAGTCGGCGTCGACGACAATGCTAGGGGTGCAGCCGCTGCTGGGTCTTCCATATCTCGGGCCGGAATCGCAGGCGATCGCCGCGTCTGCATCCGCCGGGGCTCTGGGAGGAGGCGTGCTGGAAGAGGGGGAGGGGGGTATGGCCGGGCTGAGGGTCGGGGAGGGGGGGAAAGTTTTGACGGCTCAGGAATCGATGAGTCTGATGCTCGCCAACATCAAGGCCCTGGGAGAGCATAAGGTGAGGATGGCGAGGACGGTGGTGGCGGTGCGGGGCGGAGGATGGTGATGATGAAGGTGTAGCCATGGGGCTTGGTAGTGGTGGTGGGGGCGATGGTAGTGGTGGTGGGGGCGATGGTAGTGGTGGTGGGGGCGATGGTAGTGGTGGTGGGGGCGATGGTGGTGGTGGTGGGAAATGGCGGATGCGTTGGTGGCCACGCAGGGGTTTAGCATACGACGAATGCCTCCAACTGTGGTTCTGAGATTTGGTGGGCTTCTGACCGGGAAAAGACCAGACATGCTTCTCCATCAAGGCTTGGCGCTTGAAACCAATTGTTGACGGCGTTGTTTGTGATGTGTGTAGCTCATGGGTGCTCAACTGCGTGCCGACGAATCGTTTGTGAAGGTGCAAGCGGGAGGCGCAGCCGTGTTGTCGTGCCCGGCGTACTTCAGCGACGACCAGCGGGACGTGATGGCCGCGGCTGGCGAGGACGCCGGCCTTGTGGTGCTCGACACGATCGACGAGCCCGTGGTACGCTTGCCCACTCTCTATTTAGCCTGCCGTCAAGTGTCTCTTGGCGCGTGTAGTGCAATCGGCGTGCGGCCAGGTTAGACATGTGTCGCAGGGGCCCGTTTTCGCGGACTTGTGGTCAATATTTTACGTCTCTCTCCAGGACAAGCATGAGTCACGCGATGTTGTTGTCTCCAGGGTGTGGTCTGCGATGAGCTTGTCCCTGTCCTTCCCGCGTGAGTTGGTGTGTGTAGTGACTTTGCGACTTGACCGATCACCCGCATGACTCCGTTGAAGTTCTGGACTTGCATAAAAAAAGTCACGCAGAACGTGTTGTTGACGCGTTCGCTTCGATGCTTTCCGCGTTTTACCACAGGCAGCTGTAATGAATTGGTTCCTAATATGGTAGATGGACTAAAACTGAAAATGCGTCTTAGCTATTGCGCTCGCTTGGATACGCTACCGTTCGTTTCCGTGATAACAGGCGGCCGTGATGGCAGCAGAGGACATGTCCCTTCTGCCCAAGGGGGACGACGCCGGAGGCCTGGTTGGTGTATTGGACGTCGGCGGGCGAACCGCCCAGTGCAGCATAATCGACACGGCCGGTACAGCCGAGGTAGGCATGGGAAGGGATCCATCGATCAATCGATCGCTGCACGTTTTTTTTTTTTTCATGTTTTTGTGTGGCCCGATCTCGCTTGTGGCCACGGCTTCACCTGCTTTCCTCTCGGCTCTTGGTATGTCTGTAGATTGGATGGCAGGAGTTGTGGTCGGATGATGATGATGATGATGCGAGTTTGTTTTGTGATCCAGAGCGGCCGGCTGTGGTAGACTGGAAGTAGTTTTTTCTTGCAGTGTATTTGGCACTGCTTACCTACTTTCTATCTCACTGATACAACCAGTGCGTCATGTTTGATTCTTGCACAACGCTGGAGGAGTATTACTGTTACCGTATACGGAGTACTTTGTATACATGTTATCAGCGCGGACATCATGGCATCAATTCTGCATATTCCCAACGCTGTTCTCGTCTGCTCTCTTGCTGAGCAGGGTGATCGACCGAAGATGGTGGGATCTGATTGGACTGCGGAAACAGGGGGCGACCAATGGGATGTCGGCATCGTAGACCTGTTGGACGAGGAGTTCCAAAAGGCGAACGGAGGCCTGAGTCTCAAGGGCGATGCCATGGCTCTCACAAGGTGAGGGCCTATTTCGCGTTTTCTCAGCCAGCACATGAAATACATTATGCCGTTTCGTATACAGGTGTTTCAGGCCGTGTGTTGCGTACACTAGATCGTGCTTCTGGCGGCAAAATATTTTGTATGTGGGAGTTATTCTTTGGCAGGGTGCGAATGGTGAGTCAATTTGCGGAGAGGACTCCGCGTCCGTGACTTCGTAACCGTTTGGCCGCTCGATGTCATTGGGAGACGCAGATTTAGGCTTGAACAGCAAACGTGACCCCCCTCTCCCCATGCCTTGTGCGCATCTTCCCCGTCGATTTTCTTGTTGTGTATGTGTGTGTTTTAGATTTGCGATATCTACGCCGTCCCCCTCGTCCCCTCCGTGGATTCTTTCCTTTCTTCTTCTCTAAATTTCGTTTTGAGTCGTACGCATGCATGCCGCCGATTCAATGTTGTCTACACATGCTTGTTCCACCTCCCTTTTTTCATGTCGATTGACCCGTATACGCACGGCGGCGGTTCTTTTTGAGTCGTACGCATGCATGCCGCCGATTCAATGTTGTCTACACATGCTTGTTCCACCTCCCTTTTTTCATGTCGATTGACCCGTATACGCACGGCGGCGGTTCTTTTTGAGTCGTACGCATGCATGCCGCCGATTCAATGTTGTCTACACATGCGTGTTTCACCTCCCTTTTTTCATGTCGTTTGACCCGTAATTTATACGCACGGCGGCGGTTCTTTTTGAGTCGTACGCATGCATGCCGCCGATTCAATGTTGTCTACACATGCGTGTTTCACCTCCCTTTTTTCATGTCGTTTGACCCGTAATTTATACGCACGGCGGCGGTTCTTTTTGAGTCGTACGCATGCATGCCGCCGATTCAATGTTGTCTGCACATGCGTGTTTCACCTCCCGTTCTTCATGTCGTTTGACCCGTAAACGCACGGCGGCGGTTCTTTTTTTTTTGTGCCTCTGTTTTGCCTGCATGCTACTTGGTTGGCTGGGCTTTGGAAAAGGCTCTTCGATGCCGCGACCGCCGCACGCGTGGAGCTGACTCGCGCGCAGCAGTCCCACGTGAACATCCCGTACATCACCGCGGACCAGACGGGGCCCAAGCACCTGGACGTGATGCTGACGAGGGCGAGGGTGGACCGCATCATCGAGCCCCTCCTGAGAAAGGTACGGTATGCATACGCTTATCCTGTCCGTCCGATGGCGATGCACACGACGATTATGCGGTTTTCACGTGTATGTCGTCCTACTTCTTTTTTATGATGGCACAAACGTCCCCTCATATGTTGTGGCGAGACGTATGTGCGCGCGCTAATAACAAGCGTGTCGTATGTTGATTTTCAATTTTCCATTCCGATAACCTCCCCTGAGCCCCTCGGTTCCACGAGATGGGTAAGGAGTGTCCGGTGGAGTATTTGCTCTAGCGAACAGGGTAGGGCTCGGGCAAGGGCTCCTTTGGGGTTTCATGTGTCAACTAGGTATGTAGTGGGCGGCGGCATCTGAAGCACCCCTTCTGAGAACCGTACTCGTGCCGTTACACGTGAGTTTTTTTTTCCTTGGGTCCAGGAGAAGCACGTGGACACGCTTAACTCAACTCCGCGGTGCCACCGTCGATGCTAGTGCGCTAAATACTGTCTGCCGCTGAGCGTGCGTGGTCGGTGGTGGTGCGCTATCTGTGGATGTTTGACGGACGAGATGTCGTAAACGGAACGAACGCGCGTGTTGAAGACTGACCGGGCTTGATGTCGCTCGTGGCGCCTTCTCGGTTCTCTGCCTCTTGCTTGTGTATCTGGGAGGGGAGGCTGCAGCCGGACGGGTGCACCTTGTTCTTGTTGTCGTTTCGATTGCTCTCCCCCCCCCCCCCCCCCCCC